CATGCAACTTTCCACCGTTCCGTTCATATGACACGCATTACTTTTGTCATATTGCTTTTTGCATGATCATGTAGTTGACATTGTATTTGTGGCAAGGCCACCTTCATAATTTTCATACATGTCGCTCTTGATTCATTGCATATCCCGGTACACCGCCGGAGGCATTCATATAGAGTCATATCTTGTTCTAGCTTTGAGTTGTAAATCCATAAAAGTGTGATGGTCTTCATTATTAGAGCATTGTCCTAGTGAGGAAAGGATGATGAAGACTATGATTCCCCCACAAGTCAGGATGAGACTTCGGACTTTACAAAAAAAAGAAAAAAAAGAGAAAGGCCAAAAAGAAAAAAAGAAAAAAAGAGAAGGACAAAGAAAAGAAAAAAAGAAAAAAAGAAGAAAAAAATGAGAGAAAAAGAGAGAAGGGACAATGCTACTATCTATTTTCCACACTTGTGCTTCAAAATATCACCATGATCTTCATGATAGAGAGTCTCATATGTTGTCACTTTCATATACTAGTGGGAATTTTTCATTATAGAACTTGGCTTGTATATTCCAATGATGGGCTTCCTCAAAAGTGCCCTAGGTCTTCATGAGCAAGCAAGTTGGATGCACCCCACTTAGTTTATTTTGTTGAGCTTTCATATATTTATAGCTCTAGTGCATCCGTTGCATGGCAATCCCTACTCACTCACATTGATATCTATCAATGGGCATCTCCATAGCCCGTTGATATGCCTAGTTGATGTGAGACTATCTTATCCTTTTTGTCTTCTCCACAACCACCATTCTATTCCACATATAGTGCTATGTCCATGGCTCACGCTCATGTATTGCGTGAAAGTTGAAAAAGTTTGAGATTATTAAAGTATGAAACAATTGCTTGGCTTGTCATCAGGGTTGTGCATGATTAAATACTTTGTGTGATGAAGATAGAGCATAGCCAGACTATATGATTTTGTAGGGATAACTTTCTTTAGCCATGTTATTTTGAGAAGACATGATTACTTTGATTAGTATGCTTGAAGTATTACTATTTCTTATGTCAATATGAACTTTTATTTTGTATTCATTTGGATCTGAACATTCATGCCACAATAAAGAAAATCACATTGAGAATTATGCTAGGTAGCATTCCACATCAAAAATTCTGTTTTTATCATTTACCTACTCGAGGACGAGCAGGAATTAAGCTTGGGGAAGCTTGATACGTCTCCAACGTATCTATAATTTTTAATTGTTCCATGCTATTATATTATCCCTTTTGGATGTTTATGGGCTTTATTTTACACATTTATATCATTTTTGGGACTAACCTACTAACCGGAGGCCCAGCCCATATTGCTGTTTTATTGCCTGTTTCAGTATTTCGAAGAAAAGGAATATCAAACGGAGTCCAAACAGAATGAAACCTTCGACAGCGTGATTTTTTGGAAGAATATGATCCTGGAAACTTGGAGTTCACGTTAGAAGATCCTCGAGGCAGCCACGAGATAGGAGGGTGCGCCCCCCTATAGGGCGTGCCCCCTATCTCGTGGGCCCCTCGAGCACCTCCAGACTGACTTGTTTCGTCTATATATGCCTACGTACCCTAAAAACATCAGAAATCAAGATAGATCAGGAGTTCCGCCGCCGCAAGCCTCTGTAGCCACCAAAAACCTCTCGGGAGCCCGTTCCGGCACCCTGCCGGAGGGGGAATCCATCACCGATGGCCATCTTCATCATCCCGGCGCTCTCCATGACGAGGAGGGAGTAGTTCACCCTCGGGGCTGAGGGTATGTACCAGTATCTATGTGTTTGATCTCTCTCTCGTGTTCTCGACTTCACATGACCTTGATGTATCCCGAGCTTTGCTATTGTAGTTGGATCTTATGATGTTTCTCCCCCTCTACTCTCTTGTGATGAATTGAGTTTCCCCTTTGAAGTTATCTTATCGGATTGAGTCTTTTATGAGAACACTTGATGTATGTCTTGCCATGTTTATCTATGGTGACAATGGGATATCATGTGCCTCTTGATGTATGTTTTGGTGACCAACTTGCGGGTTCCGCCCATGAACTTATGCATAGGGGTTGGCACACGTTCTTGACTCTCCGGTAGAAACTTTGGGGCACTCTTTGAAGTACTTTGTGTTGGTTGAATAGATGAATCTAAGATTGTGTGATGCATATCGTATAATCATGCCCACGGATACTTGAAGTGACAATGGAGTATCTAGGTGACATTAGGGTTTTGGTTGATTTGTGTCTTAAGGTGTTATTCTAGTAGGAACTCTTTTATAGATTGATCCGAAAGAATAACTTTGAGGTGGTTAAGTACCCTAGCATAATCTCTACGTTTGTTCTCCGCTATTAGTGGCTTTGGAGTGACTCTTTGTTGCATGTTGAGGGATTGTTATATGATCTATCTATGTTATTATTGTTGATAGAACTTGCACTAGTGAAAGTATGAACCCTAGGCCTTGTTTCCTATCATTGCAATACCATTTACGCTCACTTTTATCATTAGTTACCTTGCTGTTTTTATATTTTTAGATTACAAAAACCTATATCTACTATCCATATTGCACTTGTATCACCATCTCTTCGCCGAACTAGTGCACCTATACAATTTACCATTGTATTGGGTGTGTTGGGGACACAAGAGACCCTTTGTTATTTGGTTGCAGGGTTGCTTGAGAGAGACCATCTTCATCCTACGCCTCCTACAGATTGATAAACCTTAGGTCATCCACTTGAGGGAAATTTGCTACTGTCCTACAAACTTGTGCACTTGCAGGCCCAACAACGTCTACAAGAAGAAGGTTGTGTAGTAGACATCAGGGTGCACACGAACTTATTTAGTTTTGCAAGAATAGGATCATCTATATCATCATCATCATAATTGTCCTTCGCATCAAGATACTCATCACAAGGAGTGGAAGGAGTGAAAAGAGGAGGGTTTGACCGTGGAGTTACCTTGACATTGTCAGGAGAGTTTGGGTCCTCTCCATCTTCTACCATGACCTTTGCCATTAGGCACTTGTGAGCGTTTCCCTTATAGGCTTTCATATAGTTGTAGGTGACAACATCACCACTCTTTTTGACTAGCCTCAAGGTGTTTTAAGAATCTTGAGCTACTCCGGCAACACCACTAACATCATCCGGATCAGATTCTTCATGAACAACCATTGCTTTCCCATCCCTCTTCTTGAGCTTGGAGTTCAAAGGATCTGACAACTTCTTCTTAGGAAAGGTATTCAGAAACCTTGGTTTATCTTCTCTCTTCTCATAAGGGCACTCGTTGGAGGAGTGGGTGGTTTCTTCACAGTTGTAGCATTTTCTCACTTTCTTCTTCTAGAATCTTCCCTTGAATTTTCCCGCGCTAAACTTATTGACAAAGCGGGCAATGTCTTCATATGAAGGGCTATCATTAGAGTCAATCTCATCACCATCTTCATCATCATCATCTTCTTCTTCATCACTTTGCTCCTCCTCACATACATGCTTGGCCTTCAAAGCAAGGTTGATCTTTGATGTTGAGGTACCATGCATGGCAAGATGTTTGTAGCATTTACCTTTGACTCTTCAAATAGTTGGAAAGTGGATATGATGTCATCCAGAGTCATTTCTTTGAAACCATGATGTTGTCTTATGTCCCACACCATTTGATGATGATACAGAGCAAGAGCATGAAGTAACTTGTTCACAAGAAATCGTTTAGTCAAGTTGAATCCATCTTGTGTCTTGTCACAATCACATGACTCAATGTCGACGGTGAGAGTCATCAGACACTCAAGGATCTGCTTGGGAGATTCACCTTTCTCCATACAAAAGTTTTGTAATTGCCCCTAGGCAATGAGCAAGCCAGAGAGTGGAGGTAACGGTCTTGGTCCTCACAATGCTATCCCATAATTCCTTGGAACTTGTGATGTGTATGTATGGTCTCCTTTGCTTGTCAGTCATACCTCTCCTTATGCACATGGTTGCGGTGTCATTGAGATTCTTGTCATATATTTCTCTTGGTGTAAGATTCTTCGGGTCAACCACTTGGTAACCATACTCCAAGATCTCCAACATCTCATCGTTTCCATATCAAAGATGATCCTGCATAGCAACTTTCCACAAAGGAAAATTGATAGTGTCATCTAGTAAAGGAGGTTTGCCTTGAGGGTTATACTTTGGTTTCTCTATTTGAGGTCTTGCATAAAGCCATGGAACACTGGAGTAATCATTGCTAGGAGGTTGTTGGCCAAGTGAAGGAATAGGCACAGTTGGCCTCGAGGCCGTACCACCCGAAAGTGGTGCAAGCATCGTGGTTAATGTGGCTCGTCTCATTTGGACCAATTCTTCAAGAGAAAGCATCATGCTCCTCCTTTTGCTTAGCAAGGGCCCGTTCCAGATCCTCAGAAGTAAAGGACTTTGCTTCCGTAGAAGCCTCGCCCTTATCCTTCGGATCCGTAAAGGGGAGTCCCATCAGGGTTCATCTCACTCTAGGGTGGTTAAGCCAAAAGAATAGAGCACGAGGTTCTGTACCAATTGAAAGAATCAAGATGGACCTAAAGGGGGGGGGTGAATAGGTATAATAAATTTTTTATTGTTACTCCCTCCGTTCCGAAATACATGACGTTTTATGTTTGCACGTTGAAATCTCATAACGCTACGAAATATATGCGTTTTCCATTTTTATCCTCGACCACATCGCTCTCAGTCTCTCTCTCTCTCTCTCTCAGTCTCTCTCTCTCTCTCAGTCTCTCTCTCTCTCTCTCAGTCTCTCTGTCTCCCTCGCCCGTATGCTCTCTGCCTCTTTCCCACCGCATCTCCCTCTCCCGTGGCACCATTGCATCTCCCTCACCCACGTCATCGCGCATCTCCCTTGCCCGCCTAGCAGCCGCATCTCCCTCACGTGCGTTGCTGCATCTCCCTTAACCGCATCGCCGCTTCCCTCTTTATCTCGCGTCATCCTTGCTTCGTCGTCCTAAGATTCGATTTTTACCGCCGGAGGAGCTGCGGGAAGAGGAACTATGGTGGTGAGGAGCCGCCAGATCTATGCGGCTGTGGGGAGCTGCTGCATCTGTGCGGCGGTGATGAGGAGCAGTAGGTGATGCCGAGCACCGACGTGCCGAAGGACAGGAGGATAGTGAGCAGCTGGATCCACGACGACACCTCCGCCCTGCCCCCGTGCTTTAGCGCGTCATACACCACCTGACGCCGAAGGATGTGGTCAAACACCACCTGCGGTAGCTTGTCGTTGTCGCGGGCGCCGCCATCCTCCTCGCGTGCGGCCTCCATGAGCGACTCCTTGAGGATCAGTTGTTGCGTTAGGTGGAGAGAGGATGGACGTGGTGGCCCGGCTGTGCGTCCATGGATGATGACTCCTTGAGGTATTGCTCTCTCTTCCTCTCCCTGTCTCTCCTCCATGAAAACTTAATGTCAGATGCTAGGAGTAGTGCTAGCAAATGGAGATTCTTGTGATCTTGTGTACTGCTAGGAGTAGTGCTAGCAAATGTTACGGATGCTAATGTCAGATGTGAGGCCTTAATTTCGTACCGATCTCTCTGTAATCAACCAAGCAACAACAACACTCCATCATTTCTTCAGAGGTTTACTGGCGATGGTCGATTGTTTTGCTTCAGTGTCATTCGATTCAGAGTTCCAATCCTTTGTTGTGCTTGCAGGGCGACACTGATGGTGGTGCTTGTGGTGCCCGACGCTGACGCTGTGCTCGTGGTGCCCGACGCCTGCTACTTCATTCATTCATTCAGAGGAGTATCATCTGCGTGTCCGATGTGGAATTGCATGTTTTGGAGTCTTGTTTGGAATTAAGTGAGGCTCTTTCTACTGTACACCAACATTTGTGAGCTTAGTAGGGTTAAGAGTAGGACTGATTTTACTACTCCTCTTGCAATAGTACTATTGTTTCCTCACCAACATCTGTGCTACTGTAGTTTTGGTTAAATTTGCAGTGAGCTAGTGGAGTATTGTACTCCTCTTGTAGCAGTATTGTACTGTACTCATCTTACAATAGTTAGTGAGTACTCCAATAGTACTTACTGTAGTTTCTCTCCATCTTCTCTCTATTTTAACTGAAACTTTAATTTAAACTTTAAAATTAACCGAAGCTTTACTTCAAAACTGCAATTGTTGTGCTCTAGTTTCTATAGTTTCAGTACTGTTTTCGAGTAGTGGTTGCAAAATTTGGAGTAGCAAACAGATCCAATATTTGGAGTACCTGAATAATCAGATTTGGAGTATCTGATTTGCAATCATATTAGCTTGGAGCAGTAGCAGTGCTTGCTCTGCTCTTCTCTTCTCAAATAAAAAAGTGAGTTCAAGATTTGGAGTAGTGTAGATCTTCTCTTCTCTTTTCAGTTAATTTAAATTAACTCAAACCTTTCAGTTTCTTTAATTAAATTAACTGAAACCTATTTCTATTAATTAAACTAACTTAAACCTTTTTCTGTTAATTAAACTAATTAAATGAAACCTTTTGTTGTTTAGTGGAGTAATTTAGTGTATATTGCTCTTCTCCTCTCCTCTCTTCTCTTCTCTTCAGTACTTGGTAGTAGGAGTAGTTCTTGGAGTAGGAGTATTGTGTAGGATAGCAGTAGTATTACCTAGTGACAATTCCAGTAGGAGTAGTTCTTGGATCTCTTCTCTTCTCCTTTCTTTTCTTGAATTGGAGTACTCCTAGACATTAGTACTGTCTTGTTTATTAATAAAGCATTGGAGTACTCCTGGACATTAGTACTCCATGGAATTACTTACTCCAATAGCTTAATCGAGTTACTTACTCTCTTCTTATCTCTCCTCTCGTCTCTTCTCTTATCTGGAAATTAACTATAAATTAAAACCTTTTCTGTTAATTAAATCTAAAACTTTTTTAGTTAATTAAACTTAAATTAAAGCTTTTTAGTTAATTAAAATTAAATTAAACCTTTTATGCTAATTAAATCTAAATTAATCCTCTCCTCTTCTATTCCACTCCTTTCCTCTCCTTGTAACATCCCAAATTTTCAATTTGGAATGTTATACACTAGATCATCAATGCATATCATATTTTATTTGCTTTTGGTTTGATCCTAGAAATTCTAAGCAACTCAAGGACCCTCGGAGAGAGTTGGGGATTTCGTTATTTTCAAATTTGAGTTTTCTCGAATTTAGGAAATAGGATCATTTGATTTTATTTATTTTATCTTCAATCATTTCTATAATAAAAATATGAGAGAGGGAATAAAATGACTTTCCCAAAAATAAAGAAATATTGAGGATTTAATAAAAAAATCAAATAATATTTATTTTGGAGTTTTTGCTATTTTATTTGAATTTAGAAAAATTGCAAGTTTTTCAAAGCTGCATTTTAGGGCCAAGAAAAATGTTCATCTCGTTCTAAATATTTTATTTAGACGATGAAAATTTGTTTTGGCATTTTTAGATTTTTATTTATTTTTCTAGGATTTTTCTTAGTTCGGCGAAATTATTTAAAAAAAAATCTCCGCGCCCGACTGGGCCGAAGGCCCAGCCGAGCCAGCCGGCCCGCGCCAGCGCCACCGCCTCCCGCCGCCGTGTCGCCGCCGGACTCGGGGAGTCTGACCCCGAGCCGCCACCGCCTTGCCCCCTCCCCAAGTTGGCCGAGCCCCCCTCTTAAATACCCCGTCTCCGCCACC